ATCGAACGTGAATTGTCTTGTCTTGTCTGTAATTTCATATAGTTCTATTTTATCTAAGAATTTCAGAGAATTCTCAAGCGTATAATGTGATGTTTCTCGATCAAAAATGGGTCTCAAGATCTGGTCTGAATCAGATCCTTTCCCAGGTAAATACCCGGTTATACCTCAAGAGATATACAAACTCTTCCACAGTAAACATATAGACATAACACTTGAAAATATCAAGATGAAACAACATGAATACTTCGACAAATATCGAAGAGCTGACTATAACTTGGTAATGTTCAACTTCATCGAACGACTTTTATCGAATGACATTTCGTCGCATGAATCTTCCTAGATAACTGAACGATAACCATAAAGTAAATAGACGCACAAGAATAACTGAAAAAGTACTATGAATAAGGGTCGAATTTTTCGACGGTGGCGTCTCAAAATTCGGCTTACATCTCTATGCACACATATCATACTGTTTGTTATGCTCAAAAGCAAGACATTCTATCGCTGTCATTTTTTTTAGTCTATTGCTTTCATTTTTTAATTATAATACTACTAATAATAGTAATAATCGTAATAATAATAATAATTTCATTATAAGTATGGCTAGTTTTTTATCAACTACTAAAGGCAAACGTTTACTGCGTTTTAATGGTTATGAATATGTAACTGAAAAAAAATCCGGAGAAAAAACATATTGGAAATGTAAAGATTATTGGTCAAAAAAATATAACTTTCGTATTCATACATTAAATATTGATGATTCTATTGTTCAACAACCAAAATTCGACCATGATCATCCTGTAGATGCTGCCAAAAGTGAGGTTCGCGATTTGATGAATAATTTAAAAGACAGAGCGAAAACAACTAATGAGACTACTAATGATATATTATCAACTTTTATGACTGGTAATTATAATAAATTTTCTATTACTTTTTTAAACGACGTGCACTCTGACCTAATTATGTTTTCCTTACTAGGTGTTTCCGAAGAAGCAAGAGCCACTATTCCTGATCGCCATCATGTAAAACATAATATACAACATTATTACGATTCAGAGCCAACAAGCGAATAAAAATAAATTTTTGTACAGAAGCAGTCATTTATGTAATTTAATAATTTAAATTTATCTTGACGTTTCGACTCTTCATAGAGTCATCTTCAAAAGTGAAATACAAACTATATACAGTTACAATTTAAAATTTAGATAAACAGAATGATGAAACTGGTCTATATATACTTACAATTTTACTACTGATCAGAATAGAAAAGAAAAGAAAATCATGAATTTTCTTTTACTTATTCTATTGACTTCCTGACTGTTCATTCCTTTTCTCTCTTTTCACTTTCTTCAATGTAAAATGTGTGTAACCGCCTGGATCATATATTTTCTTATGACCCCCTATTAGTAATTGAAAAAGCACCACCCTCGGTACAAATATCTTTTAATCTTAAAGATAAAATACCCAATTATTTACAATCGCCCATTGTGTATGGGATAAAATACCAAGAGTGCCCATCAAACTATGTTGGGAAGACTACTCGCCAAGCTATTAGACGGCTTGAAGAGCATGGTCTACCGGGGCATTCTCTGCAGAATCTTTTATCAGAGTCACCTATCACTTTACAATCCCAGCCACAGAGCAACACAACTGATTTAAATCATTCGATGAGGTCACACTTGTCGAGAATAGCTAAAATTGACGCTTCTAAGCGCATTACTCAACAGATCAAACAAATGGAGGCGTCCGATGATGATATGTTTGGTGATTATACTTTTAAAGAAGCATCTGTTCCTCGAGAAAAATCAGCTATACAAAAGCATAGTACAGATAAGCATCACAATTTCGACTGGGACAACTAGAATATAATTGAACGAGACAGGATTCAATATCGTTCAATTATTAAGGAGTCTCTCTCCATTTTAGCACTGAAACCTGATTTAAACGGTACAGTTCGATCGGTACCGTTAATTGTATTTCCTGATGGTTTATCTATGAATCATAAGAAAGTATATGATCCAGGCGGTTACACACATTTTACATTGAAGAAAGTAAAAAGAGAGAAAAGGAATGAACAGTCAGGAAGTCAATAGAATAAGTAAAAGAAAATTCATGATTTTCTTTTCTTTTCTATTCTGATCAGTAGTAAAATTGTAAGTATATATAGACCAGTTTCATCATTCTGTTTATCTAAATTTTAAATTGTAACTGTATATAGTTTGTATTTCACTTTTGAAGATGACTCTATGAAGAGTCGAAACGTCAAGATAAATTTAAATTATTAAATTAAATAAATGACTGCTGCTGAACAAAAATTTATTTTTGTAATATACAACGAGCACGTATTACTGCTTATTCAGCACCTGAACCACTTGATCTATATTTTGATCGTATACCATATAATTTAATTATAACAAAACGCAATGACAATTTTTTATGTTTCCATTCCGGACCTGGTGCTGATCGTATTATAATATTTTCCAGTCCTGCTCAACAGAAAATTATGGGTTTAGCAAGTGATTTTGTAGTAGATGGAACCTTTAAAATTACTCCAAAACTATTTTTCAATTATACTGTGTTCATGCGATATATCGTAATGAAGTATTACCAATTTGTTTTGTTCTATTACCAAATAAGACACAAATTACTTATCAACAAATGATAAATCAGATTTCAATCATATGTCCCTTGTGGTTGCCGCAAACAGTTATGATGGATTTTGAAAAAGAACCAATTAATGTATTAGGTGACGCATTTCCAAATATTCAAATGACCGGCTGTTTTTTTCATTTTCGTCAAACTATTCATCGCAAAATCCAAGAATTAGGAATGCAAAACGATTATAATACAAATGCTAGATTTGCTCGTCAAGCACGTATGACTGCTTGTTTAGCTTTGATACCAGTTGATGATGTTGTAGATGCATTTGGAGAACTATCTGATGAATTACCATTAGCATTTAAACCATTATTATTATATTTCCAACAACATATATTGGCCGTACACGTCCTTATGGTAGAGCTACACGGCTACTTGCGACACATCGGTGCAGGTAACATATGTAGCTCCATTGAAAGCAGCCAACACTGCATTGTACCCGGCACCTGTGCCAAGTTCCAACACATGCCGAGGTTTTAACTGTTGAACTAATTTTAGCAATGAACGCGTGAAAAAACGAATGTCTGGAAATACAATCGGATTGAACACATTCGGATAAATGACGAATTCTTTGTCTTCGACATGAGCAACTGTTTTCTCTTGAATACTTCTTGCTTGTGACAATAGTTTCTCAACTACATCACTCCGCACATAGGCATTCTCTTCCATAGCCCTTTTACTTTCAAAAAGAATAAGACAATCAACTTTTGACAATAGTGGACGGTGTTTCGATTAATCTTGTTGGCAGTTTAATCTCGTTGTTACTAAATGATTTTGAATTCTACCTGACAAAGCGTACAAAGAGGTCCTATTTTATACGACGTTGCTCCTTCATAGTTTCTCGCTTACTCCTACATGAATAAGAGATTTTTTATTTTATGATACTTATCTATCTGTTTTCTCTTGCAATTAGATACTAAGAAAGAATGCAAAATTGTGTTGCTTTTTCTTGTGTTGGAGATTAACTGAGGGAAAGAACAGAAACTATCAAAACAGACAAACCAAAAACTACTTTTCCATTATACGTTTTTCTGTCTTCTCTTTCGTTAGTTTAATTCACGCTGTATTTCTGCACGTATGATTGTTATACTTTGCCTTTTATATTAGACCTGTTGCAAGATGAAAGAGAAGAATATGCAAGCTTGTAACGAATCATTCAGTTATAACGTGGTCAATGACATATACATGTGAGTAACAAGAAAATGTATAACTGAATGATACGTTAGTCCTACACCCAATGACTCATACCCTACCCTTGGAGAATAGTGGTGGGGCTAGAGTATGGTTACTGTTATTCTAAACAATTACTCCGATGATGAATAGTTTGCGCAGATCAACGATATAACAAGTGTTTTCACTTATAAAAACGCTTTGTATTGTGAGTTGCTTTCTGTATAATAAAAGCTGGAGGCACTAATATGAACAATAATGGACGCCATCATTACCGTCATAAATCGATGTGAAGTTACCGCGACCGCCAATCATAACACAGCAAGACGTACACCAATGAAAAACACTCCACACAATACCGAACATTTTCCTTAGCAACCGCTGATCACAGCTCCATCGTATTACCCTTCATTTCACATTTAATGCACTTGCAGCGTACTCCTAAAAACACTTTTTATACACAGTTTTATACGCTGAACAAATTAAAATTACTTCCATTCACATGCTATGTAGGGTAAGTGTGTGTCGTTGATTTTATCAGAAAAATTAATTTGCTTGAATGATGTATATGTTTAAATTGCCTTTAGTGGGCACCTCTTTGGGTGATCTCTAGTGCGATGAAGTATCTGTAGTTTTTGGCGGTTGTTTTTGTGATCGGAGGGTAGTACACCTTCGTACAATAGGAACGTGCTATAATTGCGCAGTGCAGTCCGCAGGATGTTGAGTCCTCTTGTTGTTTGGATACTGCGAAAGGATACGTTGCGCATGTCCGCTGGTTGAAATCGATATTGTTTGCATGTTTTAAGTAGCAATGTACGTTAATCAGTTGCATAAGTTTATTTAGATGTTCGTCTCTAGGCACATAGTAAGAAGGCATTGAGTCGAATTGAACGATTGTCTTTTTGGTAAAGTCGATTATGTACAAATACCAGTGTTGTGAATAATGAATGGGAAATAGTACAATACGATAGTTGAGCCATTGGGCTCTAAATAGATGTTTACTTGAATAAAGTTGTGCTAGAAGTGTGTTGGTTATTAGTGTGTCAAGTGCCAAAACTCCATCCACCATTGTAGATGTTATGTGAAAATGTGCATTGAATATCAGATAGTTTAATAAATTATTATTTGATAATAATTCGCGTAGATCTGCAGCAGGCAGTACAAATGATCGATTTTGTAGTTCATCTGCGACCCAGATAAATGTCTATCAACAATACTAAAATGTTTTTTACTTGGCTCCGAGCCAGTCTCCAGCCAATTCCATGAATCCACTCAAATCGATTGTACTGCGTTTTAAATTTGGAACAGGATTCATCTCTTCCGCGGTACGATAGCAAAGTACAATGTGTTTAGCGCTTTGCTGTATTTTTTTCAGGCTGATATCATTAATTTCTTCAAATGTGTTTGTTTCACTAACATAGAACGAATAGCTGTTGTTTGTTTTTTTGAGTAGTGTAACACCGAATCCGTCGAGTACAATCATAAGCACGTTCAGATGGTAATGAATGTTGATGCTTTGAGTGATAGAGCTGACGAATAAAGTATCGATATTACGAATCATTTGTTGAGTGATCGGAATCTGAATGAGGATTATCTGTGGCACATGACACACCATAAATGTTGAATTATGATGAAAAGCTTTGCAAGTGCGACACTTGACGTTATTTCGAACCAATACATCGAATAATTCGGTGTCTAAATCGATTACTTGATTAGACATGCCGACATCTAATGAGAATATTGTACTTGGTGTATGCATTGCTCCCCGAAAAAGATGAACTTCTTGTGAGGAAACATCGAGTCTTCTGGACAATAGATGAAGTTCTTGTGAAGAAACACGTACTTTTGTGACAACAGAAGATGAAGTTCTTCGGAAGAAACATCAAGGTTTTGGGGAAAGAACATGAAGTTCTTGTGAAGAAACACCGAGTTCTTCGTTAAAAAAGATGAAGTTCTGCTGAACAAACGTCAGGTGTTGAAGGAAAAGAGATCAAAGGAAGGTCGAGTTGTTGGATTATGGAAGAAGCATGCAGATTTTCCGTGAATCAAGCGAAGTTCATATCAAGAAACATCCAATTCTTCGTGAGAAAAGCTCAACTTCTTCTGGACAAACATGAGGTTCGTAAGGAAAAGCCATGAAGTTGTCGTGAAGAAACATCAAGCATTTGTGGAGAAAACGTAAAGTTGTTCTTGTGGAAAAGTTTTTGTGCGAAAAGATGAAGTCCTTCTGAAGAAACATCGACATTTCCGGTGAATCAGATGGAGCTCTTGTGAAAACAGCATCCAGGGATTGACTACACACGGGAATGACTACACACGAAAACAAAGAAGAGCGTTCAGGAAATTTATTAGATATGTTCACGGTTATTTGATAGAATTTATCAAAAATCAGTTATTGCTACATCCAAGCTTCCAAGAAAGACTGCATTTTCCGTTGTTGCAATGTTTGTCCCCGTGCTTAAGACTAAATTCAAAACTATCAACTGAAACTAAACTCATAAGTACCACACAGAGCGCGATTTGTAGCTCTCCCATACTGATTTTTAGCTTTCTGTCGCGAAAACTCAGGTGGTATTCATGTTCAGTATAGACAAGTGTCAATCGAATCACGTTTGAAGAATCAGAGAAATCGTTCGTAGGAAACCCTGTACGATGGAAAATTGACTTCAAAAATTTTACAAAACTGAATAATACCGAATGATCAGAATTTCACGGTGATTCACGGATATACATTCTCTGAAAGTCCAAGCGTGAATATTTTCTTCACATATAGTAAACGTGAAAATGTCAGTGCACAAATTATGTGAAAGTCGAATTTTTCTCCAAAAGATTGTTTCACCCTATGCTAACTGGTAAAACTACGGAAAATTTCCTTTTACCAAATTGTCATGCTTAGACTCGTGACTCTTTTGACACTGGACCGACCTTTCTAGCATAAATAGTTACTCAGATAAATCAACGTTTATGTCAGTGCACAGAAAAAACGAAAAGTGTTTGTTATCACAGTATTTTTAGTATTTCATCAACATAATTTCATTTAATTTCAATTCCAAGTACATATTTGAATAGCCCAAGAATTCTGCTACGAATTCAGTTAAAACTGCTGCCGCTTTTATTTTATTTGGTTGAGAAAAAAATGAGCCTTTTCTGACGAATCAGCTGAAAAAAACATTAGTTTCAGACCTTGTTTGATGAATATCACGGCTTCCTTAAGTAACAAAGAGTTTTTTCGTTCAGAACTGAATATACAAATATAGAAGAGTAAGAATATTAAAAGAATTTGAAACTTCATTCAGTAGAACAGTCTTTATACGCAGAATAGCGTAGAACAGTAACGGGACAATGCCGTTGCAATCCACTCATGTGCTGTTTTCAAAAGAAAACAGGCATCTAGCAAAATTGGAGATATCTCTATTCAAATAAGATATCCCATGTGCGGTACATTTTTTCGTCTCAGCGCGTCTATAGACGAGAAAGAAAACAGAAAGATATGCATATGCGAAAAGAAATATCTCCAATTTTGCTAGATGCCTAATATATGGTTCGATTCGCCGTAGTCTTCTGAGTATTCTTGTATGAAATCGAGAAGGTTCTGATCAACTTGATCTGATCGAAAACATATATACTTTTCTTTTACAATTTATTCTACTCACTATACGATACTATTTACACTTTTTTATAAGAGGGAGACAAATAAAGTAAGAAATGGAGGCAAAATTTATCGTTTTATCCCAAAGAAAGATTCCACTCTGTATGAAATTAGTGTTTATTCTGGCAACTTCCCAGATTAAAAAGTTAACAAATTAGAAGGTATCTCTCTATGCATTTTCGGGCAGTTTGCCTTACACAACTTGCACTCTCTGCCAAGCTATCTCTTAGAAAAAGGTAAGATTTACTTTTTGAGTTATAAGGCTGCCAATATACTAAAGTACTCGGTATTTGATAGTAAAATTAACAGGCGTGAATATCACCTACATGGCTATATAAAAAGTTTGACTCTATCTTAAAATTACAAGCATTTTTTTTAAGAATCAAGAATTTTAAGATCGGGAAAGTCAAAATTATCATATACTCTTGAAACAAAAAATGTGAGAATATGTTGAAAAACTTAGTGTGGAAATTAGGGCATGAGACTCTATATCTCATATACCAACATCGTATCGTTCTTTTCCATTCTCTTCTTTTATTTAGAAAAATATCTCTTTTTCACTCTCTGTCGTTTCTCACTTTTCTTTTTTCATTTCTGTGAATATGTGTATTGCAATATGGAAAGCAGAGCCCTGCAGGTTGCCAATATTTGGCAACCAATAACCTAACCTATACAAAATTTCACAACCTAATCCTAACCTAACCATTGAAAAAAAAAATAGAACAACCTATAACCTAACCTGGCCTATAACTTTTGCAACCTAATCCTAACCTAATTAGGTTAGGTTAGGTTAGGATCAACCTGCAGGGCTCTGATGGAAAACGCTTGAAGAGATTCAAACGGTAACAATTTTGAAGGCATGCCTAAACAATAAAAACGGTCACATTACTTAAGGACTGTTTTATTTAAAGGCTATTTATGCGTATCAATAGATGCATTTCATTCATAGTGGATGAATAGAGGAGTACGAGCATAGACGTGAGAGTGAGCCAATATTTGTGTTTTTATTATGCTGAATGACTGTAGATATCCATGAAGGCTTCTTCGATACATTTATCTTGATGCATGGTTTTCAGTTTGAAAAGTTCTTCTCAAAAACGGGTCTTTCCGTCCACTGTTTTGTTCCAGTTCACACCCTAGTACTTCTGAAGTTTCCATTTTCAGCATTTTGGACTCAAAACATCATTTACAAAGATTGAAAAAGACATAGAGCGAGTGATCCAAATTCTGCTGCGAAAATTCATTTTCGACGACCGATACGTATCTGACCGAAAAATACACAGTGTATGTCTAATGAGAACCGTGCTATTACGAGCAGGTTCAATGTAG